TGAGCATTGGCATCCTCATTAGGCTTGCCACAGAACGGGCTAGTCTGCGCCATCATGATAAGGCTGGACTTCAAGTCGAAATCCACGTCTCATATGTTGACCTGCGGCCCAATGGCCACATTGTCAGCAGAGGGAGCAGCGAACTCGCGAAGAGTCTTGCTGGCCATAGTCTTGAAGGTCGGTAGCGCTGGTACGGCTGGTTTCTCTGTCGGTAAAGTTTTCTGTGGAGCAACGACTCAAGGCCTGACGCTCCGGAAGAAAGCTTCTAGATTTTCTTTGAAGTTTTCCGGCAAGTTGAAACCAGTCATGCACTACCCTATTTTCACAACAAAAAGTGAAAACAACCAAGGTTAGCCTGCAAAGGAAATGATTATACAGAGGTAAATATAAAGTATTAGTTCAAGTAATCTCTATTATGAATCTTCCCCGGCAACAGCGCCATAAATGCTTGTTGGTATTTCTTAACGACATTACTAGAAATATAATTCCCAGCAATGACGTAGAAATACTTCTGGGATATTATGGTTATAGAGTTCATCCGCAAGCGCATGGATATACCATTGTAGCATTTCATCCGAGAGTATTCCAAGGGTATCGTATTTATTTTATCCCGTGGGAAGATTATATAGAGAGAACTTAACTAATAATTGATATATTACTTGTGATAATCATATTCTAAGCAGGGGTTAAGATAATCCAAGGGTAGAGTGACACACAAGCATTACTACTCATTCTCATAATAAATGATCTAAGCTAGGTGGAAAGAAAAGAGAAAGGAAATCTATTCCTATACTTCTAATATATATAGTATACATACATTCTAGTTAACTGGTATACTAGCTAATACCCTCTATCCGATGCCCTCCTGGTACTTCGAGAAGCCACCCCTGACTGTCGAGTTCCTTACGACAGCCCGTCAAGACCATACAACCGGGGCTAAATACGGAGGAATACCCTCCCCAGTAAATTAACTTAGGATTATATATAGGCGCGGAGGAATACCCGTACTGAGCTGTCACCATTAGCGGCCCACCTCTCATCCGCAATATATAACCCCAAATAATGATATCCTGTAATTTAGACACCACACCTAAACTAGCATATACTACTCAAATATCATCATCATGACATAGAGTAATTGCATAAGCAAACACTATACCCGCACCAAAGCATCTCCCAGATAAGCTAGCCGTATATTCAGTATAACAATAATATAATGTAAAGTAGGTACTCATATACTCGGAAAGTATTTCAATACCATAAATGTATTTAGAAGAGTATTCTAATAAAAGTACAAAGCTTACAAAAGAGAAGAGAAAAGCTACTAGAGCCATACCCGAACTCTTCCGAAGGCTTCCGGACTCCTGATTTCTATTCTAATTCTATTCCACCAGCTAGATACTACTAAACTAAATTTGAGAGAAATGAGAGAGCTATTGCTTGAGGTGTGTGAGTGAAGTGAGGAGAGGAGCTCCTTAAATAAGCTGCCAATGACGGTTGTGGCAGTTGGAATGTTCGGAATTGCCCTCCAACCGTCATTGGGGAGTGATCCACGCCGTCCAGCCAAAACATGGATCCAACGGTACCAGGGGAGGTTCGGCTGAACCAGGGGCCGGCCCAACCTGGCCCACATTCGGCAGGTGGCCTCCTTTGTTATTCTCATCCGTAGACTTGTGAATTTTGGTCCAGTGTGTCGTATCAATTCTGAGTTCTTGGCCCATTCATGCATAAGTCTATCTCTCGACATCGTCTGAGTTGATGTAGATTCTCCTCCACTTTATTGTCATTCTCTGCAAAAGGTTAGTATACCTAATACTAGTGAAATATTATTATTCTAACAGATATATGCATTGCAAGCATCACTAGTTCTCCTCTATTTTGGTGATATTGACGGTCGAAACTGATCGATAACGACCGTCAACAAGTGGCATATCGTCCGGTTTCTTCGCCAACTCACCACCGCCGTGCCGACTCCTCCACCCACTCTCCCCCCCCCCGCCCACTCGCCTCAGCCAGCGACGCTGTGGCTCGCGGCTGCCCACCCGCAACCGCCGCCGGTGGCCGATGCTGCCGCCGTCGATTCCGCTCCAGATCCCCCCGACGGGCCGACTCCTACTCCTCCTCCCCGCCGCCGACGCCTACTCCTTCGCCCACCTGCCACGCGCACTGCCCACCTGCCTCCTCCACCCACCCATCCCCGTCGGCGACTACTACTCCTCGAGATCGCCACCGTCACCGTGCCTGTAGCCGCCATGTGCTCCTCCTCCCCATCAGCCCACTCCCCCGTTGCGTCGCCTCCTCACCCCGTCGTTTCTCGACGCCGCCACCGCAGGATTCGGGAGCTACAACGCAACGACGACCTGTGGCTCCTAGCTCCCCCTGGATATGGCTGCATCGACGAGGTAGAATTTCCACTTTTAGCGGGTTCTTCATCTGCCAAGGGTTCACGTGTATTGTGTTGGCTTGGGGATTCAGTCTTGTTCTCCTGCCCATGATGTATGATGAGTATGACTACTGCAGAAAGGGCTTACAAATACTGGACTGCCAATATTCCTTTAATTTAACTTCCATTGTGTGATTTTCTTATTAATCATGCAAGAATTTTCACTTCACTGTGAAGTAGGAGTAATTTGTCTCTGTTCTCTTCTTTTTGGCAGATTGGATTCTCTGCTCCAATAATTCCATTGAGGGTGATATAGTGCTCTGTTGCACCCTTCAGAAATCGCAGGCAATACAACTGGTCACAAAGTTATATTTTGATCAAAGATGGATGGAGGGAGTATATACTATAAGTGTGAACTTTGAAATGCCAAATTGATATCCCATTTTCTTATGCTTATTATAGATTGCAGGTTGTGAGCTTCTCTCTCGGAAGGACTGTCAAGTTGCCACGTAATAGCTGTGAAAGTGCATGAAATTTGAGGTGAATGGTTGACTTTAAGTACAATAACTATATCATAATGTATGCAACTGATCAAATTTCTCATCATTGCAAAAGGTTTGGACTGCAACACCACTGTGAAGTGCAGTGATACTGACTCTTGGAGATAGATTACTGAACAACTGAACTCTAATTGTGAGTACTTGTGTAGTTTCTGTTCTTTTAGCTCTGAAAGCTTTTGTGCAACCTAATTGTGTAGAAAAGTACATATGCGGTGCAATTTAGGTGACCAAAGTTCAGAAGAAGCCATATAAAGCAAGGCGACACATAAAGTGCTCTTGCAGTTTTACTTTTTTTTCAAAAAAAAAATCTCAACTTTGCCCTTTGCATTGCATCTGACACTAAGGGTGTGTTTGGTTGGGCTTTTCAACCTGCTTTTGCTTTTACAAAAGCCAAAAGCCAACCAAAAGACCCAAAAGCCACATCTGCTTTTGCCCAAAGCCAGTTTTTGGTGCAATACAAATCAAAAGCACCCCTACCCCCGGGGAGGCCTAGTTCGCGATTGATCGCGAGACCTTGTGACCCACGATCACATCCATATCACTTCACACGCGTTTTTCTTTTTCATAGCACTGTCCTATTCGATTTTTTTTGCGTGATGTTGAGAAAATCCTACCGTGCGATCACCCCCTCCTCCACGTGATTCTCTTTTTTGGCACTGTATTACTTTTCTATTTTAGTAAATTTATGTAACTAAAGTTTATACATCTCAAGTTTACACATCTAAAGTTTATACACCTAAAGTTTAGAGACACAAAGTTTATATATCCGATTCAAATTGAATTTGAATTCAAATATTTTTTTATATGTAGTATTTCTATACATCTAAAGTTTATATTCCTATTTTAGTAAATTTATACACCTAAAGTTTATACATCTCAAGTTTACACATCTAAAGTTTATACACCTAAAGTTTAGAGACACAAAGTTTATATATCCGATTCAAATTTGAATTTGAATTCAAATATTTTTATATGTAGTATTTCTATACATCTAAAGTTTATACACCTAAAGTTTATAGACCCAAAGTTTATAAGTCAAAAGTTTATATACCTGATTCAAATTTGAATTCGAATTCAAATATTTTTCATATATAGTATTTACATACATAGATAAAAGTCTAAACAGGCGCTAACATCAGCTGTGTAGAAATCTTGAGCAATAAAGCAACTAAGGCCCTGTTTCTTTCAGCTTGTGATTATTATAATCTAGATTATTGAGTCAGATTACTATAAGCTAGATTGTTATAATCTGTAGTAGAATAAGCGGTTAGTTGTTTCTTTCCTAGATTATTAGAGCCTAGATTATTGGGTTTGCAAGTCTAAAGAGCGAGTGGGGTGGCATGGTGGGTAATTTTTCACCCAATAATCTGGAAAAAGCTCACCTAAGGCCCTGTTTGATTCAGCTTAGGATTATTATAATCTAACTTATTAGGAGTAAGCTGAAACAAATAAGTAGATTATTATAGCAGATTATTATAATCTATAAGCCAGATTATTATAATCTGATAAGCTGCTCTAGAGGAGCTTTTTTCAGATTATCGAGTGGCTAAAAACCCACTACCCCTACATACTTAAGAAAAATTACCCACATATACCATCAACCGAACATCAACCGAACAGATAGCTGAGGGCATTATAGACTTTAGCCTTTCAAACCCAATAATCCATGCCTTCAATAATTCAGACAAACAAACAACTCACAGCTTATTCTATGCCAGCTTATTATAATCTAGCTTATAGTAATCTGGCTTAATAATCTAGATTATAATAATCATAAGCTGAAACAAACAGGGCCTAAATGAGCTTATCAGATTATAATAAGCTGGGCTCTAGATTATAATAAGCTCCTTCAATAAATTGTCTGTTTCTTTCGGCTTACTCTCAATAATCAATAATCTGGATTATAATAATCCCAAGCTGAAACAAACAGAGCCTAAGTCAATTTGAACTGATCGCATGATACTCCGGCACGCGATCGATCGCTGATTAGCCATTTCGCCTTACCCTGCTTTCACCTGTTTTTGGTAGAAAATATTACCCACCACTAAAAAAAACGGTTCGATCTTTCCCCCTCTCCTCTCGCGTTTTCCCGTCTCCTCTCGCGTTCGCTGGGGGTGGAGCGGCATCTAGGGTTTGTGCGCCGGCCGGCCGCCCTCCCCGCACGACGCCGGCGCCGTCCTCCCCGCCCGACGCCGCCCCTTCTCCTCCCCGTCCGACGCCGACTCCGCCCGACGCCGGCGCCGCTCCCCTCTGCTTGTCCCTGGCCGGCGCCGAACCTGCTACTCCCCGCCCGACGCCGGCGCCGCCGACGCCGCTCTGTTCCTCCCCGACCGGCGCCGACCTGCTCCTCCCAGCCCGGAGCCCGACGCCGGCACCTCTCATCCAGGTACATGTTGGTTGTGTGCGTTGATTGCAGAAAAGAAATCAGATTAGGACCTTGAACAAAGCAGGGTGACACCTTAGTTGCTGTCAGTTGTTAGCATCATAAACTTTTTTTTCTTGCAAGGTTTGGGGTTTGGTTGGTTGTCCCTATCAAAAAAATTTCCATACTGTCAGCCAATGGGCACTCAACACATTCCCCAAATGGAGTTGGTTTGTCTTCTTAAATGTAAAAGTGGGGTAATGATGTATTTATTCATGATCTACTAGTAATGCAAAATGGAATATAATCAGTTTAGTTAGTATGAGTTGTGTCCTTCAGAAGAAGCAAACTTGGTAAAAAAAGTTCTGTACATAATAGTTGACAGGTTAGAAATGGGGACCTCACCGACCATACTAGTATCAGTGCACTGGTAATAGGCAGTTTCTGCTGCAGATGCAGATGATTCAACAGAATGATACACTCATCTGCATTCAGCAAGACAATAATCAATTACATGATCTTGTTTACCAGGACAAGAATTTTGCACATCTTCAGTGTACAGCATTATCTTCAGTTAATGTACATATACTATTATTCTCATCATCGCATTTCATTTCAATGACAATTTTAAATTCTAATTGGCAGCCCATGCCGCCCGATGCCGCCCCTGCTCCGACGACGGCGTCCGCAGTCCGCCCAACGCAGGCTTGACAGGTGCTCCGACGACGGACGCCGGCTTGACAACTTAGCCTGCTGCTCTAGGTAAACTGATCACATTCCTCCTTGTTCTGTGTTTTGTTTTGTGATCACATTCCTCCTTTCTTAATAATTGTATATAATTTAGTTTTAGTTTCAGATGCCTGGGGTTTTCTTACTTTGTCGAGTTCGTCAATTTTACTGTCTAAAGAACTCCAAATGTGAATAAACCTCAGGATACAAAAGGGTGATAATTTTGTTAGACCTAGTAATTTTAATTTTAATTTACAACATGTATACTTATTGCCTTGAGATTGTATGTCTGCCGGAGACCTGCTCAACTAGAGGCAAATTCTGCCAAATTATAGAATTTGAGTGTTTGTCAGTTGTTAGTCGCAAAATTTCTTAAAAAGTTATATGGTTCCCGTTGCGACGCACGGACACCCAACTAGTAATCTCCTATTTGTTTTATTAACTATTTGACACATTGATGACATATTGTGCACTTGGTTACAACATTTTATTGTTTCAGGTTAAACCATGACAATAATAGACTATGTTGACCTGTGCGATGATGAGGAGATTATTGTAGAAGAACCTGGTCCTCATGGACAAGTTCATGCAGCTGACATGCATGTAGAATTAGTTGACTTGACCACTGAAGGAGATGGTGTGGAAGATCAAAATATTCCTGGCAAAGATGATGCTGTTCTGTGTACAACATTACACAGTCCAAATTTTATTGCAGCTCATGGTCAAGGTGAAACAGCTCACCTCATAGTAACATTGTGTAAACAGGGATTCATTGCAGTAGTTGATGATGCAGAAGAGGCTATGCAATCTGGAAATAAGGAGCTGTCTGCAGCAAATGATGGCAAGGGAGAGGCCATGCAATCTGCAGATCAGGGGATTGTTGTGGCAGGTGATTGCACGGAAGAGGTTATGATGTCTGGAAATCAGGACTTTGCTTCAGCAGTTGCTGACGCAGAAGAGACAATGCAGTCTGGAACTCAGGAATTTGTTGCAGAAGGTGATCACTCAAGAGATGCTATGCAGTTTGGAAATGCTGGTCAAGCTTCCACATGCTCATCAATGTCAGAGCAAGGTGCTATCACATACTCATCAATGACAGAACAAATTGCTACTGCATCCTCATCAATGACTGGGCAATGGAGTAGGGAGGCAGCTGCTTTTCTATGTTCACGTCCCATGTCTATTGCATTGCCATTCCCCCGGCAGTTCTGGAAAGCTGGGGAATACAGTGTTGCTGCTCAACCCACCATCAACAGTATGCTCTTTACCTTCCTTTTCAGGCCCAGCAGTCTATATCTTATCGTGCTACCAACAGCAATAAATGTCACCTCATTTAGAACCCTCAGTGCCGGTGGCATTTTATTTCCAGTTTTCCACTGTCTACTCCACTTGACCAGACCTCATCATTGGCAGGGCAAAAACTGCAAACGAACAATTGACTCTTTCATATAACTCTACTCGAAAATGAATTTTATAGAAGGGCTGTTGCAACTTATATATAGGAGATATAATAAGAGATATTGTGTTCATCTGAAGTTAAAACAAATCTAAAAAACCTTCTTTCATCATCTATTTCACAGGAAAACCCACTAGGTAGACTAAAACATTTGCTATATTTTGTATATTCATCAGAAATGCTTTCTACCTGGCACTGCCGAAAATGTTGCTGTGCGGATGCTATGGCACTATGGCAGACGTACTAATATACTATTTATTTGAACTATTTCTTTGTTAATTCGGTCTATCTAGGAGTAAATAACTAAATGTCAGTATTTCCCAAAATCACATGTTTTGTTGAAGTATTTCGGCTAGAGACATGTAGCCCGAAGTTTTACTTCAATCAAGCAAACCATATAAAGCTAGTATCACTAGCCACTGAACATGATATTTTTAAAAGCTTATGACCTCCAGATCTGGAGCGACATGCTACCAACTAGAAAAACCTAGCGTTATCTGCAATTATGATAATACAACATGTGATATTTATGAAACTACCTTTTCTCCTAGATATTCCATATAATAGTGATAAGTTTTCAATTGTTAAATTAGGTTGCATCTAGGATTCAGTAAGAAACAGCAAAATAAGTCTTATGTTTGTAATCTTTTTTCTCCAGACTATGTCTATTCCTCCCCTAATACCAAAATATCCTTTTAAACCATGTTACCTGCCCTCTTTCTGTATGGTATTTAACATAGCATACAGAGGAAAATCTTGCTCTTATGTTGTATTAGGATTATTGGCTAGTTCACTCATCTGGATTGGTGGTTTTGAACTTTAATCCCATTCCTATTAGTTTGCACCTTTTTCTTTATTATAGGTTATTCTCACGATTAAATTTGCAATTTTTCAGGTGATCAGAACCACTTAAGGATTCACCCCAAGTTTCTTCATTCGAATGCTACTTCACACAAGTGGGCATTTGGTGGTGCGTCATAGTGGCATCAGTAAAAGCTTTGCACTTTTCTTCTGCTTTTGTATATGTGCTCTTAACTATTCAGACATGTACTCAAGGGTGATTTATTGATTAAATTTTGTTTCTACAGCTATTGCAGAACTTCTCGACAATGCTGTTGATGAGGTTTTGATTTAAATATATCAATGCTAAACTCTGTCAACATTATTTGTGTTTCAATTCTGTTGTTTTACATGTTTAACATGGAAAAGGTGAACAATGGAGCAACCTTTGTGAAGATAGATAAGATAAAATGTTCTCTCATTGATGAGTATTCATTGGTAATACAAGGTATCATTCAAATTTGTACTATCTAATTGTGTTGCTGATGTAATATGTTTTTCTCTGAAGGAATTTTCTGCATGAAGTTTTTTCCTAAGTAGAAATATTGTGTGTATTGTTTATTATAACTGATATTCTTAAATTCTATTTCAAGATGATGGAGGTGGTATGAGTCCAGAGTCTCTTCGACATTGCATGAGCTTTGGGTTCTCCAAAAAAAGTGGGAATTCATCCATTGGACAATGTAAGAGTTCTGAACAGTGCCTTTGGCCCCTGTCTATTGCTTAATACTTCAGAACCTGATTTGCAAGTTCACCACTACTAGATGGAAATGGGTTCAAAACCAGCACAATGAGACTTGGAGCAGATGTTATTGTATTCAGCTGCACACAAGATAATAGGTTCTTCCTAATTTAACATTACATTATCTTCTTATAATATTTATATTCAGATAAGAAAAGTCAATGCAGAGTAATACTGTTTCATCAACATATTTAGCGTCAATTCCTCAACCTCTTTGGTTCTTACTGACCCTGAAAATCACCACATGATGTTAATCATTGAAGCAAAATATTAATTATATTAAATGTTGCTTTCAGTTCTCTCTGATTTATTGAGCTAACTCTGTTTATGTTAATGTTTTGACAGGAGATTGACACGGAGTATTGGTCTACTCTCTTATACATTCCTTACAAAAACTGGCTGCAATGACATATTAGTACCAGTGGTCAGTCCATTAACTTGTTAGCTACATAACCTATATCAACTTAACTTTGTTTCAATGCAGAAGTTAGCTAGTAGTAAAAGTTTTCAGCAAACTAGTTACGTGCATATGGCTCTTCAATTTTGGTCTGTACATGACACTAATTTTATAATCAACTAGAGAAACTTTCTGTTATTTTCTTTGTAGGTTGATTATGAATTTGATGAATCATCTCATACTCTCAAGAAGATAATGGACCGTGGTGAGAAACATTTTTCTTCCAATTTGTCCACTCTTTTGAAGTGGTCTCCATTTACTACAGAAGATGATTTATTGAATCAAGTAAGTTTCTCTATTTATCTTTGTTTCTTTATATCTACCATAATACATTTTGTAAATATATGTTGCAAATGATTTTATTGGGTCACGGTATCCTAAGAATCAAATATGCAGATACACCAAATACAAGTAATAGTTAGTTCTTCAATGATAGCATAACTACTTTATACTCCCCCTACGTGTGGAAACATGTTTTGAACATATGTAAAGTTAAATTTTCTAAACTTTGAGCATCAATATTCTTTATTATGACTGGATACATAAAATCCATATGCATAAATTTGCCAGAAAAATACTTTAATAATATTACAATTTTATGAAATTCTAAAAGTATATTACAATGTAAATCAGTGGTCAAAGTAACATGATTGGGGCCATTTTAATGTCAAAAAGAATATATGTTCCTGACTGGTAGGTGTAACACAAAGATTTATTGTTATTGTTATTGTTATTGGCGAATATCTAGACTTTGTCTCGATGTGCAATTGCTCATGGTATATATCTTTTTTCATATTTAGACAGCAGGCTGTTCAAGATTTTCACATACTCATACATTTTCTTTCAGTTTGGAGACATGGGATGCCATGGTACCAAACTAATTGTGTTCAACTTGTGGTTCAACGATGCATGGGAAATGGAACTTGACTTTGCATCTGATGAAGAGGTAAATGTAAATGTAAATGGAACTTGACTTACTATTTACTTTTTCCTTATCCCAGAAATGTAAATGTTCATTGTATTTAGTTTGTGCAATACTCTGTGAAGTATTATAAAACTTGACTTTCAAGCTGTTTGGTTTGAGTGAACTGGTGAATCAGTGAATACAACATCTAATTCTAATTTTAAACCTAACCACTTGTTTAGTTGGGAGAATGGAATGAATCTGTGCATCAGAGAATGTACATAGGCTCTAGAAAGATGCTAGAGGAGAGATAATGTTGTTATTATAGGTGCTGAGGGGTGTGTAAGTTGGTTCTTTAGCTAAAATGGTTGGCATCTCTTGCTAATCTTGGCACCTGGTCCTAAGCAATATTTTTTTGTTTTTAGCAAGGAAAATCTATCCATATCATTTTATATATTATTCATTTAAAATATAGAATTTCCAAATTTTTAGAACATATATCACCTAACATGGTGCTAAGGGATAGGATAAAAATATGTAAGAGGGGTCTTTTGGAGAGATAGCACTCATATGTCACTGTCTACTATATTATCCAGAGTGGGTGGTAAGGGATGCCAATCATGCTCTCACCTCCTCACCCTCAAAAGCACCAAAAAGCATTCTTCCTGAGATGGTTAGATTACTTATGCTAAAAAAATTTACTTATTTGCTTACATTTGTTTATATATTTTTTGGCAGTAGTATACAGTTATGTTTGCACGCGTTGAGTAACTGATATCATCTTATGTACTGAAATCATTTACTTTCCATTGAGGGAAGATATAGAAATATTATGATCTAGATGTACATGTCCATTTTTTATCTTTTACTTGTACCACCTTTGGAGCCTGATGAGGACATCCTCCACTATTACTCGCTAGCAGAGACGCTAAAGTCGGGCGGCGACCGTGTGAGCCTCTGAATAATCCCATCTTGCTTAGCTTGGGAGGAGGAAGCCACCTTAAAAGGGAGAGCCACCCTTCCCCTATTGGACTAGTCTTTTAGGGAGATTGGGCCTTTCCCCAAATGGGTGTGCCTATGAACTGTTGGGGTCCGGGCAACCTTAAGTTATTGGGCCTCGGCCAACCCCACCTGGGCCGGATTATTATCATTTGGTATCAGAGCTGGGCCCTTGTTTAAAGGGGTGGGAATGATGAGGACATCCTCCACTATTACCCGCTGGCAGAGACGCTAAAGTCGGGCGGCAACCGTGTGAGCCTCTGAATAATCTCACCTTGCTTAGCTTGGGAGGAGGAAGCCACCTTAAAAGGGAGAGCCACCCTTCCCCTATTGGACTAGTCTTTTAGGGAGATTGGGCCTTACCCCGAGTGGGTGTGCCTATGAACTGTTAGGGTCCGGGCAACCTTAAGTTATTGGGCCTCGGCCAACCCCACCTGGGCCGGATTGTTATCAGAGCCCTGATGCACTGCGGAGGACTTCCCTCTTCCAAACAAAGTGGGTTATTAAATTTAGAATCGTTGGATGTCTGTAACTGTATGCTTATGGACTACAGTGGCCACTAGGAGCCCTGGATCTTGTTTCATTCAAGATGGGAATTGACTAGTGCCCTTTTGCAATCTCTAATGTTCTATTTTATATCTTTATCTGAGATATGCACAGAATTTTCGCTAAAGAACTCTGCTGCATGGTTGTGCAGGATATTATGATCTCAGGAGCACCTGCCATGCCAGATGGAAAGAAGACAGTAGGAAGGCTAAATCATATGCATGTCGCAAATCGCTTTCGATATTCACTTCGTGTAAGTTTCAAGCAGAAAATATGGTTTTACAACATACATGTAGACCTGTGGTATGTTTGCAATGGCTTACTAGCTCAACATTTCCAGGTTTATGCATCTATACTATATCTTCAGCTACCAAAACACTTCAAAGTTATCCTGTGTGGACAAGTTGTTGAGCCACATCACATTGTCAATGATCTCATATACTGTGAATGCATCAAATATCGACCACAAGTTGGAATAAACATAGAGGTTTGTTCTAACCAACTTTGTTTAAAACCTGATTCCAGATGCAGATCTACTACTACTAAGATATTATTTACATTTACATTTCACCTAATAACAGTGATAATTTTGCAGAGACAACTAACTCTATATTGCAACATGATTCCCTTTTACCTAATACATTTTCATTTCATTTATTCAGGTTGACGTTATTACTACAATTGGCTACTTAAGAGGTGCTCCAAAACTGGATATACATGGATTTAATGTCTACCACAAGAACCGCCTTATACTGGTAAAATTCATTGATATTGCTGTATGCAATTTGTTTCCATAAGTTATTTCACAAACAAGAAAATTTGTATGGTAATGCAGTGGCTGAGCTGTAAACTCCAAATCAGTAATAGGGGTTAATTTAGAACTTGTTAAGAGGGGAGAATTAGAATCAGGAAAATTACAAATGGATCTTCACTGATCTGTATTTCCAATTAGTTATTCTGTTTTTTTAGTAAATACGGATAAGGGCTTTGGTGATTTCTTTTTGGTTTCAAGTGCTTTTGTTTTTTTCTCCTTTTTTTTTTTGGATAATGGAAGTCTTATTGAACTCAGTCAATTACATCAAGATGATACAACCGTACTGAGAACACTCTTGGCCTCTGAATTCATAATTTACAATTTTGAGCTCCATTATGATGGCATTCCGTCTTCTCTTTGTTCAGCCCTTTTGGTGTGCTCACCCTGATAAAAGTCACAGCAAAGGCATTGCTGGTAAGTGTTTCTAATGCAGTTTTGACTTGGTTTCCTGGTAATATTTCTTTTAGTGGCATGATTTCTGTTCTGAACAAAATACTGTATGCTAGGGGTTTTGGAGGCAAACTTCATAAGACCTACTCATGATAAACAAGATTTTGAGAAGACGGGACTTTTCCATAGACTTGAGACACGGTTGAAAGAAATGACACTGGAGTATTGGTGAGTTCACTTGCGGGCCAAAAGTGCTCACTGCTGCGATCCCAGCCATTCATTGTGTACACGTACTTCCAAATTACATGGGCCATCCAGTCAGACACAATAGTTCTTCATCTGTTATCATGTCCATCCTCTCATGACACATCAATTATCTATGTATATGGCAGGAAGCACCATGCTCATTTAGTTGGATATGCTCGAGTCACAAAAGCACTTCCTCCAGCTCATTATGCATCCACTGTTGCTCGTGATGATAGTTTAGCAGCTCAAGCTTCCACAGTGGCTTATGATGACAATTCAAGAGCCAGAGAATCTGTATTGTTTGACATGTCTTCCAATGGAGGTAACTACTGATCCTTTGCATGTTGGTGCCTCAAAGGATAAACCATTGTAAATTTATGAATAGTGTATTGGATACAGAGTCATCCAAAAGAAGAAATTCATGCTCAGTGATTCATTGGAGGGCTCAAAAAAGGCAGCACATCAATGATTACGCTAATCAACCTCCAGACGTCAATGCTGTTCAGGTTTGAATTGTGTTCATTATTTTTGTTAATTTGATCAGTAATATTTTTAAGAACATATTCGTTGATCGCATAATTCTAGATGCAAGATGAAAGGATCAGACATTTAATCTGTCAGAAGAAGGTGCTAAAGGATGAGTGAGTACAGAAAACTTATCTTGTTCCATAATAAGTATTTTGCACTTTCATTTCTCTCTGTTGCATATGCTATTTTTGAGCAAGAAACAATTCACACCTACATTATGTCTAAATAAGGTGTACAGTACTTTGAATTGATAAAGCAATCGAATTGTGTTATCTTCAGCTCATTTTGTTGCACACTAAGCAGTAACAGATATAAGAACACAAACACAAGTCATGCACCACTCCTGCATTATTCTGATTTAGAAGCAAAAGTATTTCATTATTATTTCAATTTTTTGTGTAGTGTTTGTTATCAAAATAATTGTTTTACCTACTTTTTTTTGTAGGTGCTCTAAACTTGAGGCATCAGAGCAGCAACTCTTATGTAAGGTATGTATCACCTACTTCTTTTCATGCTTGGAAGTTTGTAGCCTGTAGTATGTAAATTTTACGCCCTACTTAGTTCAGGCACTATGAATGCAAGAGATTTACGCCCTACTGATCGATTAAATCGCATATGAATTGCGCCCTTATGTTCAGACGGCTGATGTGCGCACCTGTCACTAAAACAGGCAGACCGCTTACGAAACGAGCTCCTTGAGTGGCATGAGATGTACAAGAAGCTAACCGACGAGGTGAAATTCTACGATGGCCTATACGCATTGCAGCGTTGCAACCACTCCAGCTTCCCACGGTATCAAGGTTCTGACGCTGGATGTCTTACAAGACCTTAGCCCCCTTCTGCTGTAGCCAACACAGATTTTTACCTGTGTATATATCACCGTGCCAGACGCAGAAGGTATTTGGGGTGCATGGTAAAACCCCAAAGTATATGATCTCGTTACTTTTTTAGTGGGTTCAGCTGAGTGAGCTCCGCAAGACCTTAATTTCTGTTAGCACAGAAGATAGAGGAAAGAAAACCTAAACAAGACCTCCTAACTGAAGAAGATGCATGGGACAAGAACTTTTGGACTGAACCCGGGATATTTTTTGAATTTCAATTGCCACCAGAATCGTTTCGTGAGGATTTCTGGACGACGATGCTCACCTCACGGCTCTGTTCATGGCTGCTGTAGTGTAGGGTGGCAGGCACGTCGCACCCTGCAAATCTGGAATTTGGTTGTACAGGTTACGAAATGTTCGAAACCTCTAATTGGCGATCGATCGTCAGGGCGATGGGGTAGCGATCGATCCACCTCCCCCCTCCCTCCACCTGGTTTCTTTTTTAGCACCGTATTACTTTTCTATTTTAGTAAATTTATGCACTTGAAGTTTATACATCTCAAGTTTACACATATAAAGTTTACACATCTAAAGTTTAGAGACCAAAAGTTTATAAGTCAAAAGTTTATATATCCGATTCAAATTTGAATTTGAATTTAAATATTTTTTATATATAGTATTTCTATACATCTAAAGTTTATAGACCTAAAGTTTATAAGTCAAAAGTTTATACACCTAAAGTTTATAGACCCAAAGTTTATAAGTTAAAAATTTATATACCCTTTACAAATTTGAATTTGAATTATATCTGATTCAAATTTGAATTTGAATACAAATATTTTCTATATATAGTATTTCTATACATCTAAAGTTTATACACCTAAAGTTTATAGATCCAAATTCCAAAGTTTATAAGTCAAAATTTTACATAGCCGATTTAAATTTGAATTTGAATTCAAATTTTTTATATGTAAGTATTTCTATACATAATTTTTTCTAACTTTTTGTTCTTTTAAAAAAAATTGTGGTGTACTGTAGCAGGAAGAGAAGTAGGGGAGGAGGAAGGGGGAGAGGAGTGTATCTGAGTATAGGGGAGGGGGCGGACGGGAGCGATCACCTGCCCATTAGGCGTGCCCTGAAATGTTTGCGTGATGTTGTGAGCCGTTGGAATTATCCCTCTATTACCTTTTTCTTGTGGGAAAATAACTGGCCGTCCATGTAAAAGTGAGCCATTTTATAGAACGGCCCAGCGTAGAAGTCGCTATCTAGAAGCGAACGCAACGACAGAAGGAAACGGGTGTCGCTCATCCTGCTGGGATCCTCTATGTCATCACTGGCAAAAATATGTGGCGAGACACCAATCTGTTTGTTCTTTCCCCCCAGGGACTTCTGGCTAAATTGCTGGATTGTTGTCTCTAAAAAAAAGAGCTGCCGCCGTAGGGTTGAGGATTATCTATTTTACCAGTGACAAATTAAAAATAATCTTGGGAAATAAACTTAACAAGTAGCTTAGGACAAGTTGTCCAAACAATGCTGAAGGAAGTTTCTTTAAAAGAATTTTTTTAGGGAGAAAAATATATTTTTAAATAATAATAATAATCCGATCGATTAGATGAAAAGAAAAAAGCGTGGCCTAACTGTGCACAAGGCAAATTTTGTGCTAGGTTGAATACACTAGGTTTTATTGTTTGAGCTGCAGTTTATAAGCCACGGTTAAATTTTGAATTTTATAACTTGCGGTAGAATTATGTCTGCGCATATTTGTTGTTTTCTTAGTTCAACTTTGATGTTACGAGGTTACATTTTGTTACGTCGATACTCGATCGTGTTTTCGATTATAAGTAGCAAACCAGAATGTGTTCCTGTAATCTCCGCAAATCAATTCACTAACTTCCTTCATTACCCCAGCTTCCTTCTTTACCCGGCAATAATTCACATTCACTGGGCAGCAGACGCAGCCGCGCAGGCAGCTCACCGACAGCTAGACGGTAGGAAACAGCCACAATCACAGCGCTGGTCCTCCGTTCCTACTCTGTTAGCTGCTGCAGTTATTCCCACACTGCTGCCGTTTGTCTAGCTTTTCCTTGTGCACTTCCAAAGACAAGCTGATTATTTTGGATGAGGCACTTCCAGCATACGAACGCACCCGAGCTCTAGGAAGAGATCGAATGGGATATGTGTGGGATGTGAGAGGACGTGGTAACCAGAGAAAGTAGATGAGAGGAATAGATTGAATTCGGCTTGATCTTTATTGATTGAATGCGTGCTTATATAAGCTTACATGCCAACTGAATTGCTAATTAAAAGGTATAATAACTAATGCAACAAAACCGGATCCAACTAAACGAATTCGAGATGAAATCCTATTGCCAAACCATACTGTAGCGCGTCGGACACGCTCCATTCACGCCGCCGTTGCGCGATCCGACTGATCGCCCTCATCACGCGCCGTTGTTCCCGCGTGTTCCACATTCCTACGCCTCCGCAGGGATTGCAATTTCGAAACTATGTTTTTTGCCGGAGGGGGCCAAAAGAACCGAAATTCGGTTTTTTTTTGGACCGAAACTATTTAAAAATTTGACAAATTTTAAATGAATTTGAATAAACTTTGATCAAAGTCACAAAAAAAGGAAATACCCGAAAATTTCAGGAAAAATATTTGCTTGCCCGGGGGGGGGGGGGGGTGGGATTTCCGAAATTTCAATCACTGCGCCTCCGCTGATATCCAATTCTGACCATGATAAAAGCTGATTAAGTATTCTTCATCTTTAATTTGCATAAACTCCTGTTTGCATTTATTCGAATCAAAAACCTAAATCTTTACTTTGTTTACATTTTCTGTTTGGAAGAACAAGGCTTATTTCATTTGTTTACCAGATCAAGGAGCTGAAGGAGAAGATGCTAGGCTCTGGAATGCCCTGGCCTGGAGATGAAGGTGACCAAAACGTTGGGAGCAAGCATGGATGGCAATTAAAAAGGTCTGCTGCCCTATCATTCATACCAGAGATAGATCCAGACTTATATCTCTCTTAGTCCTTTTCTTTTAGCTCTTTAGAAACATCATGGTCATTATTAAGTCATAGGTTTTACCAGTTTAAATAATGGAATTGGACTTCTTTGCATATAACTTCAGCTTCTTTGCATACAGTACATTTTCTCATAACATACTCATGGGATCATTTGACACCACAAATGGCACCTGGATTTGTTATAGGTAGGGAGATTTATTAATCATAAAATACGAATGTTAAAGAAACCCTTTTTAAAAGTGGTCATCAGATATCTAACTTAATTGTATTTAGGTTTGGGCGTTAAAATGGAATGAAAGAGCATATTTTAGCACTCGCAAGGTGAAGCTTGATCATGACTACCTTTCCATGACTGTACTTGTACAAGAAATTGTCAACGCAGACTATGCCTTTGTCATTTACACTACTAACCCATCATCGGGAGATTCGTCTGAGATATATGCTGAAGTGGTGAAAGGGCTTGGAGAAACACTTGTAGGACAGTAGGAGCCTATCCTAGTCGCGCCATGAGCTTCGTATGTAAGAAAAACGACCTTGACTCTCCCAAGGTAAAAGCTACCACTTGAAATTATCCTATGTTAAGGTCTACCTGAGCTAAATGCATTCCATTTGATAGGTACTGGGTTTCCCAAGCAAGCAAATTGGTCTCTTCATAAAGAGATCAATCATCTTTCGTTCAGATTAGGGTATGCTGGAGCAGCAGTATATGATAGGTTAGAGAAAGTCCGCCATAATTTTTGTAGTTTGCTCAAGAATTTATTTGGCATTACAACTAAGCTGACTGCTTGTTTCAGTGTCCCTATGGATGAGGAAGATGAAGTCGTACTCGACTACACCACAGACCCCCTCATTACAGATCAGGGATCCAAAAATCAATCCTCTCGAGCATTGCACGGGCTGGTCATGCCATTGAGGATTTCTATGGGTCACCACAGGGCACAGGATGTTGAGGGTGCAGTGAAGGAAGGGAAGCTATAAGTAGTACAGACAAGACCACAAATGTAATCTATATGTATATTTTATAGCCAAGTCAATCAGGAAATGTTGTAGAGTAAGATATACGGGCCGTGGGACATGTATAACACGTTATGCTCCTTTTTTTAAAAAAAAAAATTGCTTGCATACTCACAGTACACTAATTTCTAGGGCTTGTTTTATCGCCAATAAGTGTAATCTGTCAATGATCATGAATAAGCCTCCTAGGCTACTGAAAGCCATTAAAGGTCATTTTGATCAACTGGATTTTGCTTCTGCAATAATAATGTAAATATCAGTGGTCTGCTTGCTTTTGGTCCTATCCTTTGTAGTCAAGAAGTTGAAAAGTATCAGTAAGTTCTTGTAAATATCTGTTCTCTGAAATGGACAGCTACATGGAGATATCTGAAGCAAATATCTAAAGAGAGCTATCCCCAGTCGACCGGAACCAAATACTGAAAGGCACAAGAGGAAAGACAGAAATGGTGGGGTTCTTCAGCCTCTGTTCTTCCACTCATTATTATCATTTGCAGCTCCGAAATGGATCAGTTCAGTATGAACTGATTAGACCAATCAAGTACAGACCAAGGAGCATCATCAGGTGCTGTAGCACTACAAGGGGAAAAGCCAGGGAGGACTACTACCAAGTGCTGGGAGTGACGGTTAATTCAACGCCTTAGGAGATCAAGGAGGCTTACAGGAAGCTTCAGAAACGACACCATCCTGATATTGCTGGCTACAAGGTGTGTCGTCCATCCGCATCTACTTCGGTTTGGTGTTGCTAGCTACAGGGTTCGGTTTTTAGTTTCTTGGAAGCTCGGATAGAAATTTTATACCTTTTACCGATATATCAAGCTTATTTTGTTCTTTCTTGTGGAGTTTAAATGTGAAGTTGGCACTTGAATTTTCAGGGTCATGACTACACCCTACTGCTGAATGAGGCATACAAGGTGTTGATGAGAAATAGTCCCAGGAACGCTGGTGCTAGTGGCAGAGGCTTTGGCAGAGGTTTCACTGGAAACGGGTACAGTTGTTGGAATGGGCCTGTGAGAAGCCATGCACTCTTTGTCGACGAGAACAAATGCATAGGTACGTAGCATCAACATTTCTGATCACAAGACACGACCCTTTTTTTTTCCACAGATAGATGGTTCATGAAAAGAACAAAAACAACTAGATTATTGATGCACCGTGCACCGTATGTAGGATGTAGGGAGTGCGTCCACCATGCCGGAGAGACATTCGCGATGGACGATGTTCTTGGAAGCGCTCACGTCGAAGTCCAGTTTGGAGACCAGGAGCAGAAGATACAGGTACCATAGATTGTTCGAGTTTCTGACGAAGCATACACTGTCACTGGAACTGTTTGAGGCACTATTAATTGGAGATCTGTAGCTCAATGGACGTGCTTGTTTTACTTTGTGGCTTATCCAATTTTTAATTTTAATTTAATTTAGGTGTTTTTTCATGGATTTCTATATTCAGTCTTGGCTTGAGTATATGAGTATAAAAATATTACGCTAAATTGTTTTTCGTTTCTTTAGTGACTTCAGTAACGTGTCTTCTGCCTGTAAAGTTGCTGCCATAAAAGTGCCTTCTAAACATGCCAAATAAATTAATCTAATATATAATTTATTTTCCATGGCTGATCGATCCGCCGATTAATTCACCATTGAATTGATGTGCATGCAAGGGCAGGTAGCTGTGGAGTCGTGCCCAGTGAACTGCATCCACTGGGTGATGAGCGAGGAGCTAGCGGTGCTGGAGTTCCTGGCACGGCCACAGCAGAAGGAAGCGCACGGCGTGTTCGGCGGCGGGTGGGAGAGGCCCCGGGACGTGTTCGCTGCGGCCAACAACTTCACCAAGAGGCTCCAGAGAGAGGAGCAACAGGACATGGCACGGCAGCAACGCTACAATAATGGTAAAAAGAAATAACTGAAACCAAACGAACAGCTTCTAGCAGCTGTGAACCAGAAAAATAACGAAGAAGTCCAAATTACCCTCTTAACCACAAAACCAGACATCCTTCACCCTTAGACTCGCTTTAGAGCAGTTTCAGTCTAGTTGATACACACGTGATAGTCTAGTTAGCATAAAAGAATTAAGAAAAGCGATTTGATCCACACATCAGTTTGACCTTCTTAAGTTTTTTTTAAAAAAATGTTCAAACCCACAAATCAAATCTGACATGTGAGTCTCACCGTTTTTATTCTTTTTATGCTAACCAGACTACCACGTGTGTCACATGATTTTTTTTAGAGAAGAGTATTTTTTACCCAGTCTCTACATCCAACTGGATATATGCGGTCATTTAAATTAGGAACTTAGCCCCACAAACAACCCAATCTGAAATTCGCTTCGATGGAGATTTGAACTTAAAAACCTTGGGGTACTACTCAGGTCACATGATAGTACCAAAATCGCTCCAAAACAAGTCAAGGAGATAATTTGTCCAATATAAAAATTTGAGGGTGAAGAATGTCTGATTTCGTGGTTTAGAGGGGCAATTCGTACCGTCGCTCTAATTTAAAGTTGTACTTTTTTCCAAAAATAATGAAAAGGGAAAGAAAATTGATTTATTAAAGGGTTATTAGAATGTCAGGAAGTCAAGCGAGACAATATTTTGAATGCCATTTTATCGAAGCTAACTTTCGGAGTGCCAAAATGTGGAAACCACATTTTAGAGTGTTAATAGAGCAATTTTCTCAGAATTTATATATGATTTTCACATTAATTAGTTCGATCCTATAAACCATTTTTAATTTTTTTTTTCTATATTCAAAAAGATGTAACGAAAAAAATATTCCCTCCATTTTATATTATAAGTCGCTTTGAATTTTAACCTAGCCAAACTTATTTAAGTTTAATCAAATTTATAGAAAAATTTAGCAACATCTACATAGAAAATTAGTTTCATCAAATTGAGCATTAAATATATTTGAGTAAATTGCATTTAGGGCCACCTTTTATCACCAAAGTTCCACTTTGGACTACCCTTTAAACCATTTTTTCACTTTGGACTAGATTAGTTTGCCTCTGTTTCACTTTGAACCACCCCAAAAACTTTTCTCGAGCACATAAATGACTTTAACCACATCGGCACCCATAAACCAATAATCTTTCCGACTTATATATAGACTATTCTTCGTAAGATTAGAGGGTAGATGTAGCTAGAAAAGTGACTTGGGGTGGTCCAAACTGTAACAAAGGTAATCTTACCTAGTCTAAAGTGAAAATATTAGCTAGAGGGTGGTTCAAAGTGAAACTTTGGTAATAAAATGTGGACCAAAGTGCAATTAACTCTATAATATATTTTAATAGTATATTTATTTGGTGTTAGAAACATTTTTATGTTCTTTTTTTTTTGTAAAATTGGTTGACTTAGAAAAAAAAATCAAAACACGATAGAATGGAGGGAGTAGAAAATTAAACACGTCTACTTGAGCAACCGTTAATATTGTTGCAGGTGATGCATGCGAGGAAGGTGAAACCGAACGGCAGGCCGAGGCGAGGCGTCGCGCAGGGCAGGAGCTCCGGTGGAAGCGTTTGCGCGATGTGTGGAATGGGCTGAGGGACTGGACGAAACCTGGTGTGGACGGCCCGTAGATTATCAGGCGCTCCTGGCTGCAGCTGAAGGACTAAAACAGGTTTGCATGCACTGTAAGTAGTGTAACCGTTTAAAAAAATATTATTCATCTCAAGTACAAACAGGGCATGATGTATAACGGGCACAACTCAACATCTAAAGTTATGTTTCTGATCATCCAGTCTATCCCTTCCTCCTGCAAATCATACACAATTTAGACGAGACGTCAAGACGATCGTGCGCCAGTGTGCCGATTTGTGCAATGTGTTGTGCACGTCGCACACTCGCGTTCGCATGGGCCTGTTAGGAACACCGAAACAACATCACGCTAATTAGGCCCAATTTGATACAGCTCCAGCCCTCAACTCCAACTTACCAAGAGCTGGAGCTATGCCAAACGGTATAAATTCTCTAATTTTTGGAGCGTAGTGGGAGAGTCGCTCCACAAATTTGTACTACAGGGGTGGAGCTGGGTTTTTACTGCTCCACAGTTTCACTTCACCCAAAAAACCCACTACCCTTTAATTTTTCCATGTACTAGCAATGGTGTCCATGCGTTGCAACAGATAAAGACAATTTTAATCATACATGCTGGTGGGAAAAAATATAAAGGAATAATAATAATAATAATAATAATAATAATAATAATAATAATAATAATAATAATAATAATAATAATAATAATAATAATAATAATAATAATAATAATAATAATAATAATGAAATAAAATTGCAGTGACCTTTGGTCAAAAAGATAAAAATATATAATTAATTTTTCATTAATTCCATTAGCTAAAAATAATATAATACGAAGTAGGAAAAGTTATTCTTAAATTTTAGTAATTTTCAAAAAGCTTAAATAGAGCAAACAAATTATAAAAATGAAAACAAATTTAATCACCTAAATAAAACAATTAAACCTGTAATTGAAAATCTGTTGCCAGTTTGTTTAAACATCAGCATATATCTCTCACTCGTGTGTCATGGTCCTTTTTTTCTGACATAGAAAAAATACTCGTGCGTTGCGACGGGTAATTAAAATTACAACAAATATAAAAATATTATATGATTAAAGTTTAGTTTTACATGATATGAGCTCTTTAAGAAAATATATTCATAATGAAAAAAAAAGTTCAGCTAAAGGGACCTAAAGTGAACTTGTTCCATACGGAGCGTACATGTGGTCCATGAGGCGGCCCAATAGTGTGGGCGGCCTGGGAATAGAATTGGCGAGGAACAACTTAAGCGACCTAAAGTGAACTTATTCCGTGTGGGCGGCCTGGCAATGGCGTTCGGCCTGACGCGGGAGAAGCTAGAGCCGTCCGATCTGATAGACACTCCTGATTGATCCCGACCTATATAAAAGTTTAACAGCCCAAACCCTAACCCTAAAATCATTTTGCTCTCCCCCCTCTCTCTCTCTCAAATCAACGTGGCGGCGGCCCGGCACACCGACGGCAGTGGCGGTTCGGCATCGACGGCGACACCCTCCACTTCCGGCGTCGGTGTTTTCTTAGTGTTCTTGAATCTAATCTTGTATTATTGTAGTAGTGTTTTTCTTTAGGATTTAGGTCCAAATTTGATGCGGTCTCTCATTATCTTTTTTCTTTCTTTTCTTTTTTTTTGACGGACGAAAACTATAACCCATAAGCCATACAAATTTTTTTAATTAGGTATATATAGATATTGAATCGGACTTTCCTTTTTTTTCATGTTTTTTTTCGCCCTTTTTTCGTTACTACGGATGTCGAAAACGTCTTTATTTTTTTTACCGCGCCACGTATAATCGGATTCGATTTTTTTTTCGCCTGATTTCTTTTTCACGCCTTTTTTTCATGGACGGACGACGGAAACGCCTTTTAATTTTTAAGTAGTAGAGATAGAGATACAGATAGAGATAGAGAAAGAGAAACGGAAAACTTCTTTTGCAACTTTTTTTTTGGAATTGGACAGAAAAAATTTGTACGCTTGTTTTTTACCGCGTCGATGGAATCGGATTCGATTTGTTTTTTTACCACGCCGTGTCATATATAATAGGATTCGATTTTCTTTGGAATTGGACAGATACTTTTCTTTATTTTTTTTCACCATTTTCTTTACCGTGTCGATGGAGTCAGATTCGTTTAGATTTTTTTCTCCTTTTTTCGCTCTTTTTTACCGCGTTGACGGAGTCGGATTCATTTCTATTATTTTCCTTTTTTCGCCTTTTTTTTGGATCGGACATATATTTTTTTCTTTTTTTCGACCTTTTTTTTTCTTTTTTCGCCTTTTTTTGGATCGGCCAGGTTTGGTTTTTTTTTTTGGCCTTTTTTCGCACGTTTTTTTTCGCCTGCGGATTTTTTTCGTTTGTTTCGCCTTTTTTTATCGGACAGAGTTGTTTTTTTTCCTTTTTTCGCCCGGTTTTTTTCGCCCACTTTTTTTTTTACGAACGATGGAAGCACCTGTAGTAGAGATTTACGCGATATGCCACTGAACTACCCCTTTCACACCCCTCTCCTCCCGTTCTCTCTCCTCCCCGTCCTCCTCCTTACAGCAGCCAATGTCGGCAGCGTGGGCGGCCGGCGGCATTGGCGTGGCGCGGCGATGCCACTGGCAGGCGCCCGGACGGTGGCGACATGCGAGCAGCGGCGGCGTCGGCGTCAGTAGGCGCGCGGGCAACGGCAGCAGCAGCAGCAGCTAGGCGACGCGCATGCGATGGCGGCAGGCGGCGCACGGGTAGGGCTGGCCTGCGGCGGCGGCGAGGCGACGCCAACCTGGTGTTCGACGAAATGCCAACAAGGAACGTGGTGGCGTGGAGCTAACTAATCTAGCCAAACACTTTCATACCCACTTCAGCTCCTATAGGAGCTAGCTCTCACTAGAGTTGGAGTTGAGAGCTAGAAGTTAGAGTTTGGAGCTTTAATGATGGACGATGTGTGGCTCGCGAACAATGGATCGATTCGGACTGTATGGCAACGAACGAAAGATGAAGCAACGGAAAAAACTGGTTGATACGACAGACGAAATTGCTTAAGTGACAATCGAAAAATTACGTATTTTTAAGTAGTTTAGATTAACAAAAACTAAGTAGTTATTAATTGACTAAATTCGCAGGTATCAATTTCAATTCCATCTAAGTTATTGTGGCTCTGGAATTCAAAATTTGGTATGCGAATTTTATTTTGTTTTGGTGATAACTGAACGGTTATTGCAAATATATATTGTCAATGCGTTGGGACCAGTTTTCGTGTCCCCAATATAATGGATCCATTTGTAAATCTTAGGTAAACAATCTCAGCCATCGATTCAATAAATGGACGCGTGTGAAAATGTCGCCAAGCGAGTCCATGTGTTCAGATACATGCATTTTTGAATTGATCGAACAATATATCACCAGGAAATCGCCACATTCGTCAAAACGCCTCTCTGATCGATCGACCTATCTCAAATCACAAAGGTGTAAGTCAGCACGATGCAGAGGGGATATATGGGGGTATGGCCGTATGGGCAGAAGCATAATACTAACAAGAAAAGAGGCGAAAGCACGATAGACAGGAGTAGAAGAAAATCGCTGCCTTTATCGATTCGAGCGTGCATGCATATGCATGAGCGTGACCAGAGAGACCGAGCCTGATGCAGGCTGAGATGCATGGTGTCGTACGCCCCAGAAAAAAGTTGTTGCTTTTATCGGGATTTGGATGCAGCACGCAGTAGCAGTACCATGGCCACTAGCTAACTCACCGTCACCGGTATGGGCCTTGCTACCCCTAGTTAGAGCAAGTTCAATAGTATAGCCCACTGCTAGCTCCAATTTATCTATAGCCAATCTAATAGCCAATACATACAATAGTTGCTTACAAAACTATTAATATACGGTCCCACCTGTCATACACACATTGCGTCTTGGAGTCCGTGTTGCAGCTGGCTATAAATCTGTAGCCCGCTGCTCTTCTCTCTCATCGTTTATCTCATTAAAATATGTTTATAACTGGCTAATAGTCTGCTATTGTACCTGCTCTTTTAATTGGTGCAAGAGACCTATAAACATGTGTGTCATGTGTGACCACCACTCCATCGGGCTGGCATCGTCTGTCTTCGGGGGTGATACGGCAAACTTTGCCGTTGCTTCATCCGGAGAATCCATACGTAACCAACGGCTGGATTAATTCCATCTGGAATAAATGTTTATATTTGGACGTTACTAAACCACACATCAATTGAATGCAGAATCTAACAATTAATAAGAGTCATCGATTGACAAATATGTCCGTCAATTGCTCCTTTAACAGTCTTCGAGAAGAAAGCCCCTATATCAACAGCATCCAAATGGTCACACGATGAGGGAGTCAATCCATTATAAAAACTTTGCAGGATTAGCCACTCGTCAATCCCATGATGAGAACAGGCAGTGACATATTCCTATAGTCTCTCCCAAGCTTCTGGGATTGTCTCATCTCTTGTTTACTGGAAGCTGGATATTCTTCCACGAATGGCATTGGTTTTGCCCATCGAAAAGAATTTTGAGAGGAACGTCGTTGAGCATTTGTTCCAGGTGTTGATCGTCACACGGTTCCTATAAAACCACTATTTCTCTCTCCCAAGAAGAGATAACGAAAAAAGGGGGAGTCGGATGGCGTCTTGGTTGAGTCTCTTAATAGTGTACGTGCTACAAATCTCCAGGAACGGTTGCAGATGAGCACTTGAGTCCTCATTTGGCTTGCCACAGAATGGGCTAGCCAGCGCCATGGTAATTAGGCTGGTCTTGAGGTCGAAGTCCACATCTCCGACGCTGACCCTAGGCCTGACATGCACATTGTCAGCGGAGGGAGCGGCGAACTCACGGAGGGTCTTCTCATCCATAGTCGTAAAATGTTGATGGTGCGGTAATGACGGGTTTGGTTGCTGATAGGATCACTCGCGGAGGGACAACACGGGGTCTGACTCTTCTCAAAAGTGATTCGGGATTTTCTTTAAAATTTGTCGGCAAATCAAAACCAGTCATACACTACCCTGTTTTCACATAAAAGCAAAAATGACCAAGGTTAGCCTGCAAAGGTCAGAGATCCTATGGGTGGATATTAATTAATAACATGTAGTAAACTCTTAAACCAATTATCTTCCCCGGCAACGGAGCCAGAAATACTTGTTGATATTTCTTAACAACATTACTAGGAACATAATCCCCAGCAATGGTGTTAGAAATATTAGTCGGTATTTCTTATGGTTACATATATAAGCCCGCAAGTACATGGATATACCGCTGTAGCATTTCACCCGGAAGTATTCCAAGGTATCGTATTTGTTTAATCACAAGGGAATATATGGTAGGAGAATACAATATTATTAATTCACATCACATTCATATAGCACCACTTAATGATATTCAATAATCTAAGCATCGCGCTTACATTACTAAATATTACTCTACATCTTTACAGATGACATAGAGCAATCATACGAATGAACACTAAGCCAATACCACTACATATCTCCAGTAAGCTAGCCATATAACTAATACTAAGCAAGTATAAACCAAAGTTGGTACTTGAATAATGGTACAAACAGAGTAAAGGATCAAAACTATATAAAGAAGAATATTTCATTATAGAATAAAGTCTTACAAGATAGATATAAGCTATTAGAACCATACCCAAATTCTCCAGAAGACTTGAAGAACTCAAGAACTATTCTAATTCTAACTCCACTAGCACTAGAACAAAATATAGATCACTAAGGATAGCTTCTTTCACTTGATTCCTTCTTGGTGTGCTGTGAATGAAGAAAGAGAGGGGTATTTACGCGGGGGGGGGGGGGGGGGTTGCTTGGAAGGATAGAGATGCTCCATGGAATCCAAAGGGCATATTTCCTCCTCTCTTGCCAAGTGTCCTCCTGATGACTGTTGGAGCACAGGAAACGGTTACAACCGTCGTTGGAGGTCGGTAATTACCGACCTGGAGAATTTTTGGGCCAGCTAGGCTGGGCCTAGGTCGGCCGACCCCTGGCTGGTCCCTTTGGCCCAGAGCTTTCTCCAAGCTCCTGTATGGTGGGTCCAAGGTCTAGCGGTGTGTCGGTTGGGCCCAATTGCAGGTGTTTCATTGGGTTTGTGGGGCCCTTTTTTACATTTATTCTCCACTTGTCGACATTTGACTGATTGAACGGGTGTTTTCCACCATTTCTCCTCCATTTATATGGTGAACTACTGTAAGCAAATATAATGCCAAGTACAAGTGGAAATAGATTATTTCTAAGTATGCATGCAAGCATTGCTAATTCTCTATTATTTTTGGAATTATTGACGGTCGAAATTGGTCTATAACAACCATCAACACCTATGATGTGAATAATGGTTGTATCGATGATAGCCATAGTCACATCAATATATGATCTACAAAAGTAACACAAAGCCACAAGTAAACAAGCTAGATGCAATGATAAATGCAAAAGGGAAAGAAATCAATAAGGATGGAGATGCAGAGAATTTTTTCTCAAAGTTTGGCTTCTTAAGGTGATTGTACGTCTCAGTTGAGGAGCTCACAAAGAGCTAAGTTTATTTCAACACTGTTCCTGTTGAAGTTGCACAAGCATTCCTCTTTCACAAATGTTATCTCGCTTTTCTTACACAGTTGTGATCCAATCTTAACAAACCTCTCTTGACACACCACAAGCCAATTAGTGACTCAAGGCCAAATCCTGGCCATCTTAAAAACTCAAGCGAATATTTTTTGAACTGGCGAAAGTTCCAATAAAATACTTCCTCCGTCGAAATATCTTAAAAACTAAAGCAAGTATCCAGACAAACATTTCTTTTTTTTTTTTGCCTGTGGTCACAAACACTTGGGATTGTGCTATATATCTACTATTGGGTCGAAATATCTAGCCGATTGGAACTTCTAGCTATTGTGTCGAAACTTCCAATAAAATAGGGTACCTGAGAGCTTAACATTCAAGAAAATTGTTTTATTTTTGAAACATTGGATATTGTGGGCAACTCATCGAAAGTTCTGGTCGAAACAATAAAGCAGACTCTTGGGTATTCCATGAGACCCAACGGAACTTCCAGTAAAATTAAGATTTGCAACCCAAGATTTGCCAACAGAAATGAACACTTACAAATAATTTTACTTTCACTAAGGTTCAGTATTAGTTAATTGAATGGCATCCCTCTCAACATACGGCAGTCCTATACTCAAGAAAATGAAAAAAAGAAAACAATTACCACATGAATCTAATTGCATCATATATAGTGTTGTTCCTGTGTTAAATTTGTTAATCTCATGGTAGCGATAGCAACTATTGTTGGATCAATCAATGAGACCAATCAACAATTTGTTATGATTGTTTTTTTTTGGAGCAAAATGAGTATCATTGCCGGTTTATGAGTTGAACCGATAGCGTTGTATGATTTTGGGTAGTGCCTGCTCAATTCTTTGGACGGGTTATTTGAAAAATGCTCAAAATACCCTTATATATTCAAAAGTCACTACAACAAAAGGGCAAATAGGTGTCACCACTATAGGTGTCAGCACACCAAAAACTGGCACCTATAATGCCTTCTCCGCCCATGCGCCCACCCACACGCGCCACATATTCAACAACCAGCACCTTTATGTCCAAATAGGTGTCGGTTTTTAAATAAAACCGGCACCTAAAACCTGTGTCAGAGAAAGGTGCTGGTTCTAGACCCAAAACCAACACCTTTAATCTTCTCCCTCCCACACTAGCCGTTGGCGGGCCCCACATATAGGTGCCGGTTCTCAACCCAAACCGACACCTTTGTTTCAAAAGTGCTTTTCATGCCCGATGGTGGGCCCTACACAAAGGTGCCGGTTCTTGGTATGACAAGACAAAGGTGTTGGTTCTCGACCCAAAACCGGCACCTTTAACATTCTCCCTCCCATACTAGCCGTTGGTGGGCCCCATACATAGTTGTCAGTTTTTGTATGACAAGATAAAGGTGTCGGTTTTTGTCTAGAACCGGCACCTTTGTTCCGATAGTGCTTTTCATGCCCCACACAAAGGTGCCGGTTTTTTGTCTAGAACCGGCAAATCTAGCTCCTCCGCCTCGACAGAAGACCTCCAGTCCACCTCCTCGTGAAAACACACCTAATGAACCACATCGTCCAGAGAAGTCCACGAGTCCACCCCCACACAGAAAAAAGACCCGAACACCAAGTGCATCACATATGTCTGTTCCATCAAGCAAAGAACGACTCAAACATTCCAATTCAGACTTAGTGTCAAAGCCGACAACGCCGCTGCATAAGAAGACAATGAACGCCAGCATCACTTCGCTTTTTTGTCCTCCGCATGTAATCGAGCATTTCATCAAGTGCGCACCACCGAAGTCACCTAAGAAGCCTATATCGGACTTCCGGAAAATTCTTGGCAAAAAAAGATATGCAAGCTTAGTCTAGGGAGTTGTACCTTGAAGAGAAAGCGTCCAAGGAAGCTGATTTCTGCAAGTCAGCTAGTTTGAAAAGCCTGGACAATCTAAATGAACTTGAAGAGGCCCCGATTGTACTGCGATTCCAACTTGGTCAACCGATGGTGCTTGACACAGAAATTGAATCCTTAGGAACTCAAGCGCATTGGCTGCATGAATGGTATTTGGAGGAGGCCAAAAAGGGTGTTGGGATGTTCGGTGCCTACTACACCAACGTGGATTTTCACCACCCCAATAATACATGATTTGTAGATTTTAAGGAACTCTTCCAGTTGTACCAAAGAAGGGAACTCGATATCTGCCTCCTGCAATTGTGGTCATTGTGAGTCCTTTGATATCTTGTCGACCTTAATTCATAGCATTCTACGTACTCTCAGTAATTCTCAACTGTGTTCTCCTTTTGCAGGCATTGCTCTTATCAGGTTAGATCCATGAACCATAAGATAGCTTTCCTAGACCCAACCGTTGTAAACTTTGACAAGCAATGCACCTCCGAAGCTGAAATTGACCGCTATCTCTTTGATGCCCTTGTCAAGCTTAATGGATGTGACCACATTTTGTTGCCTTACCTTTCTCAGTAAGTCACTATCATCGATTTCCAGTTATGTTTGCTCTCGACCCATATCAAGTTATTGATACATTGTCACTATGTGTAGCCATCATTGGATCCTCCTCGTAATCAACATCGACGACAGTTCGATTTGCATATATGATAGCCTGAGAGGGATAGACAAGTACCAAACTATTTTAAGTGCACTAAATAGGGCATATAAGAAGTACCGTAGGTCCGGAAGATCGTATGGGAGATGCAAGATTGATGCAACTGAATTTCGGATTTTCGAACATAAATATATCCTTCGTCAACTAGAGGCCACCGACCTCTGCGGATTCTACGTCATGCGGTACATGCTATATTTTGTAGAGGATGGATACAATCACCGCAATGCCGAGGTATGACATGCTTCAGGTACCTAAGTCATAACATTAAGCAATTCTATTTAAGTACTAAGTAAATTTCTACGTGCTTCCATCCTTGTGTTGTAGAAATTGGGTCTCGATACAAGTGAAATTCTACCACACGTCTTCAAAGCTCTCACTGACGAGTTTTGCGGGTTCATCTGTCATCATGTTGTAGACCCAACTGGCGAATACAACATCAACAAGGTCCCACAACGAGTGCAATCTTCTGTCCCTCCCCCTCGGGACCAAGCCGCGAAGAAATTAGCTCCTAGGAAAAGAAAAACCAGCTAGCTAGATTTATGTGAAAAAAATGTATTTAATTAGTGTTTATGCATGAACTATGGAAGTGTACTTTATGTGTAATGCATTTGAATATTTGCTATTATTATGGATTCTATTTTATGTTTTCTATTACAGGCTCGATGACTTGAGGACGAGAAACTCTTAAAATCATATGCTCACCCCATGTTGGAGGTAAAAAACAATCTCATTTATATTTTTGCACTTATGAATTCTTAGATATTGTAGACTTAGGAATTTTTTACTTACGATATATGATGAACCCTGAGTTCCTCTCGACACTCAAGGCTGTTGTTGGCCCGATCTTTTGGTGAGTTGTGATAACTACGATTTGGGAGAAACGTTGACGATCCGACTACAACCGTACGAGACGTTGTGTTGCGCCTTAGCGATCGATACACCTCTCCGTGGGTTGCTGATCTTGCCGGTGCAGATCAACCCTATTCCTGCAAGCAAATCGAAGAAACAAGCAAGAACAAGATAAAAGCAATCTGATATTGCAAATAGGAATTTAATACAAATGATAAGTTGGGGTTCCGAAGAACAAGCAGACGGACGGTCTAGCCGACACGCGCGCTGCAAGCAAGTAGCAATGGCTAAACTTTAATCTAACAAAACCCGAGAAACCCTGAAGGGGTAACTAGCTATATATAGGGGTGGGAGGACGGCCTAGGGGTGCCTAGGGTCGTGCTCCACTAGCTTGGGGCGCACCCCACATGGGCCCCACCTGGGCCGGGGTCCCAAATGAAGTTACAAGCCCATAGGCCCATTATAGGTGATGCAACACCTTGTTCCTGTGATTCTGGCCACACGAGATGGAATTCAGAGAAGAGGCTGGATCCGTTAGAAAGAGGGCTCCGAGAGCTTTCCATCAAGTACTCACGGGCCGAAAACGGAGGTCGTATGCAGATTCGGTGGCCGTTTGAAGTCAGCAGTGTAGTAGGTGGCCGAATCGGATTCCAGCACTTGGAGTACTTGATCTCGATATCTTCTTGTTCATCCATGATGTGAGCAATGGTTGCATCCGTGGTAGCCATGGTCACATCATCCTCCCCTTCTTCATGGAAAACCATCCTCGGTTTTTCCATATGGTGCTCTTTGCGTAGTCCATTTACAACAACCTGTTTCTTCCAATCAAAACAAGGCAAACTCGAGACAATTTGGTTAGCAATAACATTTTTCTCTAGCTTGCATGTTTTATCCACATGTACAGGAGGTTCTAAATCCGAGCAGATGTAAATTCTATGCACAAAATATATTCCAAGATCATTATATTCGCCAAAGATGTGAAATATAACATTGGTTGGATATGGCAAATCAGACTTAGCAAATAATTTCTCCTTCAAATTATCGAGCTCACAAAAATCATCAAACTGAACATAGCCCAAAGTATTTAAAGAAGATCTCAATTCACGCTCCTCTACTTCATTAGCAATGTGAACAACATGCTTAAAATCAGTGCAGTATGAATTAACAGTAAGAATAGCATGTTCATTCACAAGTTGTGGCATGTATACAAGTGAAGCATTATCGCATAACTCTTCTTTATCACAAGGAACAGCAAACAAATCAATTTGTGACAAAGGAATCTCAGCAGTTGGTTCCACTAATGGTTGCTCTGCTATAGCATGAAAAGTGGACAAATTCAATTCATTAACAACACACTCACCTTTACTAATTTCAGCACCATTAAGTTTACCTTTGATGCCCTCTTCAGATAATGGAGGTGCCTCGACTTTGAGTGTGATCAATGGGACTGGTGGCTCTTTCATGTCTCTCTCCTCCTTTTCATGATTATGCACTTCCTGCAAATGGTTAGTAATAGAAGACAAAAACATAGTATGTTGCTTCTTCATGTCCTCCTCTATTTTACTTTCAGCATTGCAAGCAAGTTGTAACAAATGAGAAAGAGATGTATATCTTTGACAATCAAGCATGTCCTGAATTTCTTTGTTAAGCCCACATAAAAACCTCATTTCTTTAGCTTCTTCGCATTCATCTAAACCACAACGTAATAAACAAGCTTGCATATCATGATAGTATGAAGTAACAGTTCTGGTATCTTGTTTTAAACATTGCAGTTTGTTGAACAAAATGTCAGCATAATACATGGGAACATAAACATCTCTGAAATATCGTTTCAGGTCTTTCCAAGATTGTGGTATTTTGTTATGCCTACAAAGATGTTTCCAATCATTAGAAGCATGTTTAATTAAAACACTAGAGGCACACATAACCTTTTGTTTCTCCGACAAGACATGCTTTTGAAATTCACTATCAACCGCTAGCTCCCAATTAATGTAAGCACGAGGATCATAGTCTCCCTCGAAATAAGGCAGTGCAGATTTGATCTTACCTAGAACCTCATCACTTACCTCATAATGGTCATGTTGATCCCTCCTCATGTCTCGACGAAGATGTCGATGTTGAGCACAGCTATCCCCAATTATCTTGCGTATCCCTGCCATTGTTAGTAGAAAACAAGAAACATACACAAAAATATGCGCGTTCCTATTAACTACTAGGTAGTGGCAGCTCAAAAATCGCACACACTCAAGCTTTTAACCAAGCTCTTACAAGATCTTACCAATGCAAGTGAAATGGTGACATACACCGACTCAACCAAGCACCCCAATGAAGGTTGGATGTATCGATGCCTTGGCAAACACTTGCGGTACGGCTGTAATCAAATATGTGGAGCTCTGGGTTGGCTTAAATATGTAGCAAAGGAATAGCAAATGCTCAAATCAGATAATGCAAAGTTGAATAATTGTTCAAAGTCAAGTACCGTGCTGGTCCTAGGCTAGAACGTACTAGAGACGCGAGCCTAGACACAAACGATACCATAAGATAGCACTAGGAACAACTCATGCACAACTCTGATATATGAAGTTCAGCTCAAACATAACAGTATTTTCTCTTTTCTTTCTTTCTTCTTTCTTCTTTTCTTTTTTTTTCTTTCCTTTTCTTTTCTGTTTTTTTTTGTGCGGCTTTTTTTTTTCTTTTTTTTTGCACCTTTCTGCCTTTTTTTTCACTTTTTTCTTGATTTTTTTAACAAAAACTGACTCAAGGACCTTAATGTAAGATTACAGGGACTCAAACATAAATATAAAATTTACAGGGACTCAAATGTAAAAGTCTAAACCCAAAATTAAAATTATACAAAAAATGGAATGCTGAATTTATGCCGGTTCCGTTTTTCCAAACATATCTCGAAACCGACACCAAACAAAAATTCGCCAAGGTGTTTGACACAACTCGGAACCGTGGAAGAGAGGGAGGGAGTTGGACTCGGCCAAAGGGGCGAGTGGGACTCGGCCAGGAGGTGGAGTGGATGGCAGCCGAATTTGGTGTATGGGATAAAAAGGAAACTGATTTTTAACCAATCCAATCTACTATATCTTTCCAAAACAAACTTGACTACTTCCAAAATTAGATATGGTAATTCACCTTCCTCCTCTCGTGCACGACACAGGCACGGCCAAAACAAACACACACAAGGATCGGCAAACTCTAGATGCAACTCAAGAACTCCAAAACTAACCGACAGAAACTTCTGAATACTACAAAAATAGAACCGTGGCAGCGAGCCGATTCCGTTTTCGTAGGTCCCGACAACAACAGAGACACGGTGGCAGCGACGACTGTGGTACAAAACGTGACCAGAACTCGAAACTCTAAACGAACTAGACGCTAAGACCAGCAACACGACGTGACGATGCAACACAAAATTCAACAAAGTAAAAACTGAAAAGAACAATGCAATGGCACAATATGGCTACGTAAATGATACGAATTTTTTTGTATGGCTATTTTCTGGTTATAGGAAGATAAAAACTCACCGAGCAACGAAAGCTCTGATACCACCTAATGAACCCTGAGTTCCTCTCGACACTCAAGGCTGTTGTTGGCCCGATCTTTTGGTGAGTTGTGATAACTACGATTTGGGAGAAACGTTGACGATCCGACTACAACCGTACGAGACGTTGTGTTGCGCCTTAGCGATCGATACACCTCTCCGTGGGTTGCTGATCTTGCCGGTGCAGATCAACCCTATTCCTGCAAGCAAATCGAAGAAACAAGCAAGAACAAGATAAAAGCAATCTGATATTGCAAATAGGAATTTAATACAAATGATAAGTTGGGGTTCCGAAGAACAAGCAGACGGACGGTCTAGCCGACACGCGCGCTGCAAGCAAGTAGCAATGGCTAAACTTTAATCTAACAAAACCCGAGAAACCCTGAAGGGGTAACTAGCTATATATAGGGGTGGGAGGACGACCTAGGGGTGCCTAGGGTCGTGCTCCACCAGCTTGGGGCACACCCCACATGGGCCCCACCTGGGCCGGGGTCCCAAATGAAGTTACAAGCCCATAGGCCCATTATAGGTGATGCAACACCTTGTTCCTGTGATTCTGGCCACACGAGATGGAATTCAGAGAAGAGGCTGGATCCGTTAGAAAGAGGGCTCCGAGAGCTTTCCATCAAGTACTCACGGGCCGAAAACGGAGGTCGTATGCAGATTCGGTGGCCGTTTGAAGTCAGCAGTGTAGTAGGTGGCCGAATCGGATTCCAGCACTTGGAGTACTTGATCTCGATATCTTCTTGTTCATCCATGATGTGAGCAATGGTTGCATCCGTGGTAGCCATGGTCACATCAATATATATGTAAATGTTTAGAGCATTTGAGATGTTGTAGAGCTCTAGAGATTTAGTCAAGTCTCCTGGGATGTGTAACACATCTGGTCGCCGCCTTCATGTGGTTTGACGGGCACGTCTCAGGCTGAAGTTGACTGGCACGCTGAGTCCCAGCAATATCTCATTTGCTCTTTACTCGAGGATATGAATGTGAATTATATGCAAATGTCTAGAATTTACACTCAATTTTTTCTAGACTTATGAATTTTAGACTTGTGAATTTCTGAGATGTTGTAGAGCTCTAGCGATTTAGTCTAAGTCTCCTGGGATGTGTAACACATCTGGTCGCCGCCTTCGTGTGGTTTGACGGGCACGTCCCAGGCTGAAGTTGACTGGCACGCTGAGTCCTAGCAATATCTCATTTGCTCTTTACTTGAGAATATGAATGTGAATTATATGCAAATGTCTAGAATTTACACTTACAATTTTCTGGACTTATGAAT